GCTGCGCGGCGCGGACGGAGGGGTGTCAGGGGGCGGGGCTGGGGCGGGGCCGAGTCCGCCACGCACCGCCCCCTGCGTGGGTGAGTCCATTCCACGGCCTCAAAGCGGGGGGAGGTGCGGTGGAGAGGAAGCGGTGCAAGAGCCCAACAAGAGGGGGCCGCGCCCTCCTCCGCCACCGCGAGGGTGCGTGAAGCCGTCTCCTCCCCACGTCAGTCGGTGTGTTTCACAGTCCACACCATCCCTCCCCAAGGTCCCCTCCTTCCCGATTCTTTGCACCCTCCCGTTCCCTTGGCAACGGCAGTGACCTCACCCGGGTAGTAAGCCGAGCCCAGAGTGAGGTCACCACTGTTGCCATGGGGATGCAGGGTAGCCAAGGAGTTCTGGGCCCCATAGGGGATGGGGGCATAGTTAGTATCTGAAGGGGGCGAAGTGAGGAAAACTGAAGAAGCAGCCTCAACCAGGCAAGAAATAACAGGAGGGCCGCAGTGCGGACAGGAGGACCTGAGCGTAGCCGGAAGAGGGATGCTGAGGAGGAGGAGCAAGAAAGGGGCACCTGGAAGAGACACTGGCATCCCCACCCTCCCCTGTCTAAAGGCCAAGGCCCCTCCAACCAGAGATTTTCTCTCAGGCTAGCCTGACTCGTACAATTCGGAGCCCCGTTCTAGTCCCAGCTCTGCCATTAACTCCTTGGCACCTTGGACAGATCCCCTGATTCTCCAATTCCCTCACCAGCTAATTGCCTCTCAGCTTCCCAAAGAGGTGAGGACTGACTGGCAAGAGTATGTGAAAGCCTTCTGGAGCTTGTCTAAGGCCCCACAGTGTGCACCCCGAGCTAGTACTGCCTCAGGGTCCTGCTGTTGCAAGGACCACCCTCTCCAAGGCTCTGCTTTGTGCAAGTCCAGGGAGAGGGCAGAGTGGGAGTCTGGAACAAGTGTTATGACCTTAGAGAAGCCATTGTAGTCTAGAACAAGTGGCCTCTGCCTCCATCCCTTCCTGGCCTAGCCAGAGGGTGGACGTTTGGGGTACAGGTACTATAAGGTTAGCCTCACTCCTTGGTTTCCTCTTGCCTGGCAAGAGTTAACAGGCTCTCTAGGGGCAAAAGGAGGTCAACACAGAGGCATCACTGCAGCTCTCTTTTGCTAACCATTCTTTCAACACTATCTCTACTTGGGCCACTCGCCCTCCTGGGGACTGAGAGAAGCTCAGGGCTCTGCAACCTAGCCTTGTGCTTTCCTTCTATCTCCTGGCTAGCAGGCCCCTTTTCCTGTTCTGAAAAGACATCAGGGGATCCCAGTCTGACCCAGGCTCCCCAGATGCTGGGGACGTCCTGGCAGGATTCATAACTTTGGGAGCCAACAGAGCCATCTGTCCCGACAAAACCATGGGGCCCAAAGCAGCAGCAATGAGGGATTAACCTTCCAGAGGGACCTTTAGGATTGCAGGCCAGAGAGGGACTGTGAGGCTGTGTGGTGTGTCTGGTGCAATGGTAGCCAAGGGAGTGCCTTGGCTCTTTTTTCCTGCCCCAAAGCACTGCAGATTCCACCAGACTCCACCCTGCTCTGCCTCAGGCCCTCTGCCAAGGCTGCTTTAGAAAGGATTTAGAATAGTCTGAGTCTTCCCTTAATCCTGGCCCTAATTGCTGCTGTCCTAGACCTCAAGACTTCCTGCCCTCTCCCTTCTTGTGGCAGCTGAAGAAGCTGCCTCCTGCCTTAAAAATACAAGACAGTACAATACAATTAAAAATCTGAGAACTCAAAATATGCCAACCATTGTACTGGATGTTTCCTACATGTTATTTCATTTAGTAAGGGCGCCACACAGACTGAAAGCCCCTCTAGACACAAGGATGCCCTCACTCCTGTCCCTATTCATCCTGCCAACCCACTCAGGGGCTCCTGAGAGCCCATCCTTACCCGTAAGGACAGAGTGTCTTTGCACTGCAGGCTGATGCCACACTCATCGGTGATCTCAGAGAGGTCTTCATCTTCAAACTCTTCCAGGCTGATGTCATGGGTGAGCCTGATGGGGACAGGAAGCCAAAGTTACCATTCAGGGAACTGCTGGCAGTGGGCTGAGGCCCCCTGATGCCTTCCTAGTACCTCTTTGAGGGGGCAGCCCCTCGAAGGCAGCCCCCAGAGAATGGGACCTGGTGCAAGGGGAACCCACCAGGCAGTGAAAGAGTGCTGGGCTGGGGTCAAAAGCCAGGCTGCCTGGGATGGCAGTGGAAGGGGAGGCTCTGGGTTATTCCAGCTCTTCCCAGCTGGGAGTTGTCCATCCTGCTGCCAACCAGGGGGCCTGCCTAGAAGGCCCAGCTGGTCAGAGCCTTAGCTCTGCCAGAGGAATGGCTCCCAGGGTCAAGACAGAGGCCAAGGCCAGGTCACCCATGGAGGAGGCAGAGAGTTGTGAAGAGACTCCAACAGATGCCTGGAGTGGGGCCTCCCTGTGCAGTCCCTGCAGGGACAAAACCCAAGGTGCTGGCAGAGGCCCCGCCCCAGCCTCAGAGGAACACTCCATGTCCCCAGCCCAGGAAGCCTCCCGCCTCATGAGCCCTGGGAGCAAGTAAAGGAGAATCTGGTGTCAAAGGAGTTTCAGCCTGTCTAGGAGAGACAGTGCCTCCATCCTACGTTCTTGGTCTCATCAATTCGAACACAGAATCCTCTTGCCCAGCATATGGACCCTGAACAGGAGGCTGCACGGCTTGGGTCAGGGAAGGCTGGAAGTGTGCTGAGGTTAGGAGCCAGACCAAAGCACTTCAGTATCAAACTCTATCTGGTTATAGAAAACCTTTTCCTCCCAAGTCAGCCCTGCCCCAGCCACTGCAGTGCCTGCTGGTCTCCTCACCTGCTCAGCCCCAGCCCCCAGTACCCTGCCTGATTTGGTATGGGTGGGACATTTGGGAGAATTCTGAGTCTTTTCCTCAATAAGATTAGGAGATTGAGGTATAGAGCAAAGGAGACCCACTAGTCCAAGGTCACACAGTAGAGGTGACCTAGGAGGCCCACATCTCCAGGCTCTCACCTCAACCAGACCAGAGACCCAGAGCTCAATGGAGCTGCCCCAGAACTCCCCCACTCCCCCACTGGTCCCCACACCCCTACCAGTGCTCCCACTGATCCTCCAACCAGCTGTCATTGTCTGGGCTCGAATCCATCTTCAGCACCAGCTGCATGGAGAGCCCTGCCCAGCTCGGGGGCTGCACGGCCCCAGGGCCACCGGCTCATGCCCAGAAGGGTGGGGGGGCCAGGGCTTGGGGCAGGGCTGGGGCCTCGGGCCTCCACCGCCTGGGCCTGCCTTTCTGCGTCCTGCCCACTGCAGAAGCCTGGGGAGCTCATTAAAAATAGATGGGAGAGAAGGCAGCGGCTGCCGACCCGGGCCCCAGCCCCAGCTCTTCCCGGCCAGCCCTCAGCTGCAGGCAGCTTCCTCCCCGGGCCCTTTGCGCTGCCGCTGCCGACGCCGCCTCCCTCGCGGGATCAGGTTACCGCAATCAATGCCACCGGCTCCACCTGCCCTTCCAATGCCCCTGTTGGGGGCTGGGGTGGCCCCCCTCCCTGGCCCAGGCTTGTAAACAGATGGCAGAAATCTGGGATGTTTGCCCCCCAAAGCCAGACCCGATCTGTTTTAAAGGGCCAGCACCACAATTAGGGTTCCTGGTGGTGAGATGGGGGGGCTTCCGGAATTCTCCACAAATGGATGCCCCACCCACACAGCTACTCCCTCAGCCCCTACACCTCATCAGGGAGGCTTCCGTGGGCCCAGGTGGCCTCCAGACAGTGCTGACTTGGGTGGGTCTGGGCTGCCTCTAGTGCCCACCTGGGTGCAGACAGAACCCTGCCCCTGTGCCTTTCACAGGGCTCCATCCTTCAGCACCCACCCAGGGTTAAGGGCAGACTATGTGCAGAGCGCTCGGCGCAGGGTGGGAAGGGCCGCCTGGGAGGTAAACCTCCTGCCACTTCGGGATGGCAAAAGCAGAAACTGGAAGGCCCCCACAGTGAGGGATTCTGCCCAGGGTGAGGGGCTGGATGGACAAGGTGCTCTTTAAGGCCTCTTCTGACCTGGACCCCAAGGGTGGTAGGGTCCCAGGGCTGGGGGAGGGCATGGTGTGGAAGTAGGGATAGGCTGGGGAGGACAGCTCTGCCCAGAAGCCAGAGTATTCCTGCTCAGTCTGGCTGGTGCAGGACAGCATCTTTGGGATCTTGGGATCTTTGGGACAGCATACTTTCCTGGGATGGGAAACCAGTGGCGGACACCAAGCAAATGGTCAGTACACACTGGCTTCCTGGACAGTCACAGAGAAGGTACCCTGGGACTCAGCTAGCATCAGGCAGCTGCAGGACACTGGGTGTCTGACCGAGAGGTGCCTTCAAACATCTCCTGCTCTGCCGGTGACCCCTGCACACATCTGTGTCTCCTCTGCCTCACTGTCCAGCCCTGGTCTAGCTTCTGCCCCTACAGTCCCAGACCTCCCCTCTGGCCTGCCTGCCTGTCTCCCCAAGCCCACACCACTCCACGCCACCACTATCAGGCAGAGCTGCCGAAAAGACAACCCTTCTGCCCCCCCACCCAAAACCTCCAAGGTTCCTTGCTAGTGGCCAACTCATTGATCTGGCATTCAAGGTCTGCAGCTCTGTGTGACTGCCTGGCTCTGCCATCCGCCTTGCCACTGTCTAACCCAGTGCTTGGATGGAGCACATGGCAGGCTCTCAACCTCTGCTGGCTGGTAGAAGGCCCAGTTAAGCCTGCTCCTCCAGGAAGCCCGCCTGGCCTCTTGTGCTAGTGCCTTACAGCCCTCTAGGCAACACTCATGGGTCACCTATCTTTCCCCTCACTTGTGGCTGGTGTCACCATCCGCGTGGATGCCAGGCAGTGTGGTGAGGCAGACAGGATGAGGCTTGCATCAGACAGCACACCTCCCACCCCATACCAAGCAGCTCCAAACTTAGATGGAGCTCATACACCCTCTCCCTGCCCTGCACCTAGCAGGTGATAAATAAAGGTCCCCTCCCTCCCAGCATGGTCTGGAGGGCAGAGCTGGTGAGGTCACCTTGCATACACTAGGCACTCAGTGCATGCCCACTGGATGTCTGTCAAGGACAGTCTCAGCCTCCACCAGGAATTCTCAAACCCAAGTGTTCGAGGAAGACCTGGGCTGGAGCTGCTCAGCTCACCTCTACACCCTCAGCATCACCTGATATTCTCGCTTCCCAGACAGCAGGTCTAGGGGCAGGCAGGGACAGAGTATCAGCCTCTACAGAGGAGGGTGTGAGGTTAGCTGAGGGCAATGGTGGAAAAGAACGCTGGGCTGGGGCTCAAAGCCTGCACTTGATCGCTGGCTCTTTAATCTTGCTGTTTTCTCATAAGCCAGACAAGATGGTAGAATGGCCACCACATCAGGTTTGGAGGTGAGAAGCCTGAGATAAAATCGTCACTCCTTCACTGATGAGGAGTGGCCACTTCGTCTCCTGAGCGGCTGCTGGGCCAGGGATACAAACCTTCTTTATGCTCTACATCTCCCTTTATCCTTACTCCAGCCTTGGAAGATGGTTTTATTCTGCCCATTTTACAGATAAGGAATACTAAGGCTGAGTCATTGGATGCCAAAGGTCTTGGGTTTCCCCACATATAAAATCAGGTCACCCATAACTGCCCACCCACTACCTGCCCACCCACCTCAAGGATGCTGGGAATGATTAACCAAGGGGACTGTTTGTGAACTGTAAGGGTGCTGTGAGGAGGTCATGACCAAGGATCAAGGGGACGAACTGGTCACAGAATTCCCTTTGCACCCTGCCCCTGCCCTTTCTTCCCACTGCTCCAGGCACCAGATGATCAGGATCTCTCAGCTGAATCCCCGGGAGACCTGTTGTGGGGGGAAAGCTAAACAGACCCTTGGTCCCTCCAAGTTCAAGGAAGGCAACTGTTGAGGAGGAAGAAGGAAAAGATGGAGGGGAGGAGGGAGGAAGGAGGCGGAGAAGGAAGGAAAGAAGGAAGAAAGGAAAGAAGGAAGGAAGGAAGGGAGCAGGTTCCCTCCTGAAGTCACCAATCCACTTTCCCCATGGAAACCTGAGCCTGAGCACCAGCAGGCCACCTCATGCTCAATCACACGACCCTCCGCAGGTCAGGTCAGCAGCCCTCGCCTCTAGATCCTGAGCCCCAGCAGCTTCCCCATGGAGACGCCCACCGCTGATCCTTCAGACCTGCTTGCCCATTCAGTGAGATGGTTCCTGAGGTCTCATCTATGTTAACATTTGGTGACTCCATGTCGTGGGTTTGGTCTCTCCAGACCTCCCTGACCTTTGGAGTCTATCCTTATATTCCAGGCCCTTTCTTCTATGTTAACCTCATCCCCGCCCACTCCAGTGCCCCAGTCCTTTCTCCTGGCCAAGCCGGGTCCTCACCACATTCAGAACATGCCATCCTCCTGGCTCCCACTTCCCGAGCAGAGCTCTCCTGAATGGACAGACAAGCATCTGTGTTCTGATGTTTAGGTCACGGCCCTTTCCCTTGCCCTGTGCTGTCCCATCTCCCTGTTAGCCTCGTTCCAACCTTTCTAATTTGCTGTTTCAGCCCAGTAGTGGGCTGAGTTAGAAGTGCATGCGGAGTAAGGGTCACGTGGGAAAGTGCCGAGGCTTCTGCTGAGCAAGGCCAAATCTGAGCCAGGCATCTGGCTGCCCAGAGGCTATTCCTGTCTTCCTGCTCCTGGTTCTCCTGGAGTGAGATCAGGATGCCAGCTGAATGACCCTGGGTCCTGGCCATGGTGTCCCATGGCCCCTCTCGTGATCGAGGCACCTGCCGCCGCTGTTTAAGTGCCGAGCAGAGCTGCCCAGGGGCTCTCGCGACTCGCCTGCTCTAGTCTAAGCAGGCTCCCCACTTCCCTCGGGCTCCCCTACAGGCCACCAAAACTCACATCTGAAATGCATATCTGGTCTTGTCACCCCTCCCCAGCTCAGAATCCTAACAGCTTCCCAGCCCTTAGGGAAAGTGGCCAAAATTCTCACCTGTGGTCTGAAGGCTCAGCAGAG